CTTTTGATTCAGTGCACTGAGTGTTTCTTACTTCCCTTCGGGACATTTCTTCGCCAAAACATTGTTTTCTTACTTCCCCAAAGATTGGAGAAAAAGCTAGTTTTCTGCTCCTCAGCTGGTTATGCACTGTCCTCATGATCGGCCTATTTCAAACAAGCGAAGATGTTATATGACGCCGTCAAGTTATGTGACCTTTCGATACGACACAAACATTCATGATATGTGATGTCATATGATGACTTTTTCCGTCACTCGCGTTCACGCTGCTGACGAGAGAAGACGTCGGACGCCGCCGGCGATCAATTTTCGCTTTTGATGATGCATTTAAAGTTATCGCCTAATGCACTGTACGGCTGTATTTCCATAAAATTGTAGCTTCCTCTTGTGTTAAGGGTTAGCGTACTTGCGGTAATCAGACAGAAAAATAAGTCTCCTAATAAATCTTCGCACTACACACCAATATGTAGCCTTCATTTACAACCCGAGTATTTTATAGATTACAAGTTGTGGTGGCTGAAGACTACGCGTCACGTTTGGCAACATGGCAATTGGTTTCACTAAACCAGAATGAGCTGCATCCGAACATTTCACGAACGTTGCCTCGCGACCTTTGCCGTGTGAAACGCAAACATTACGACCTGAAGCTGAATGGAAGCCCATGGGCACCTCATAGCCATTCGGCCTCTACTTTGCTCGCTACCGAATTAAGAGGCCAAAAGGAAGAAGGAAAAAACAGAGTTGAGCCGCTGGATATAAGGGCTACAACAATACGTCCACAAATAAACAGACAAGCTCAAGCAACTGACCACGGGCCGCATTTTTCATGCCTGTCACTTTGACTCAAGTTGGGAGTCGGCATTGGACTTCAGGCTTTAACAGCGCCTGTTGAAAACATAGGCAAGTATCGCAAAAATTGAGCCGCATATGGGGCCGTTATTGTTTATTTTATGATGATTTTATTTGTTTGAGCTCTCAAATGGTGAAATCACCTGCCATAGTTCCTCATTTTTGGACAATTGCTTTTTTCGGGGGCAACAAATGTAATACTTTGTGAAGGAAGCGAATGATAGTCAATATCCCTGGAAGCAGTCTAGTGCTATTTAGTGCATGAACTCTAGGCTTGCGCATAATGTGTTACGCCACTAGAGAGTAGCAAGCATCGGGTAACATTAGGCACCCAAACTTTTAATAGTAGCTTCTGGTAAGGGCTTCTCTAAAAAAATCGACTTTCAGTTAGTCAATAAAGCAACTCTTAGTCAAGTGAGCGCCATGGTGACAAAACGATCTTCCGAGGATTACTGGCATCAGCTATCTGGTATCGGCCAAGCAGACAACGCGCGAGCGTCTTGATCAAGTAGTCGCGAATGAGACATGCCTTTGAATTGAGCTGGGTGTCCAAAACAACAGGTGCTTAATGATTCTCGTTTCCAAGTTTTCCTTACATCTTAAACAATGCGAATACAGCCGAAAACCAAGCAGTATATCAGCTTCGAATGCAGCCACCGCATTTGTTTGCGTGGGAGACGACGTGGCGGCATATGCACTTTAGTTGCGGCGCCTGCCGGCGAAACGCTGAACTAGCACCGATGGCCGCCTCCCATTGAATTTCACTCCTTCGCCCGGGCACTGAAAAAAATAGAGGAGGCGCTAGTATAAAACCCCTTGATATAGTAAAACTAGCGACAATCTCCTCCATATCATCTCCAAAGTGTCCGACCCTCCTCTCCCAAGTGTCCAGACCTAATCTATATATTCTGCCGAACAGCCACCGTGCGGGCGCTGGTCCTATGACCCGGCTTGTGCCACTTTCCTATCACGAATGATATGTCACGCTGATAACACGCGTGATGCTTGTCGCGGCCTGAGAGGAGAGAGGTGGGAGAGGATTATGCACGGCGCTGCGGCTCGGTTAAAAGAATGGCGGTACTTTCCTAAAAATATTCATGGACCTTACGCTGGTCAGGGTCGCTGCGCCCCTACCACCGACGGGCGGCGAAACATACTCAGAAACTCACTGCCGGGCCAGACTGCACCTGCGCGCTCCCTTCTTACGACTATAGTTATAGCTCGAGAAAAAAACGACGGCACAGAGACAAGAAGGACACGAAGGACACCTTCTTGTCTCTGTGTCGTCATTTTGTTCTCGCGCTATAGCTATAGTCATGCCATACCAACTAGCTCAAGCTGCCACACTGCTAAGTTACCCTTCTTTCGGCCTTCGCAACGGGTGTAGCACATGACTCTCGCCACTTCTTTGAGGGGGGTGCTGCGACCCTGCCATTTTCCGCCGCTCCGTACAACGCGCGAACACATGAGTTCGGGCGCGCTTCTCCACTCACCGCGTGGTGAAAAAGAAGTTGCCTAATTGTTGAAGGCACAGAAATGGTTTGTTTTTACTTGTTAGTTGCGCTAGGTGCACCGTCCTTAACTTTATTTAAAAATGTGTAAATGTGAGAGCCCGAAGTACACCTCTCCGCCATCAAACGTGTAGACATTCTGAGGTATGAAAATAAATCTTCATTACTCATAAGCACTAGCAATAGCTCAAAACTTTCAAGTGAAAAACTTTGCCAGGCTTCACAAATGTCTTGTTCATTGCCTAAAATGCTTCTTAGTCGGCTTGTATGTGTAGGTGGAAGGCTTGTCATTTACGTCAGTCAGTTGTTTTGTGTGGCTGACGAGAAGAGTTATTAAAAATTTTTTGACTATGACATCTGCGGATCGTTGCCAGTGGCTGTCGTCAACAATTTCAAGGCGGCTTAAGACGGCGGAAGTGATTATAAATGAAAAGAAGAGAAAAGTGAGCCCCGTAACTGTCTCTCAGGGGGAGGACATCTCAACAGTAGCTCACGATGGATGGGGGTAGAGAAGGGAAGCGCGTTGAAAGTAGGGCTGGACTGCTGTTTGCAAAACTTTTAGCACATTTCTGCGTGGCACGTGTTCAGAGGCCTTTTCAAGAAGACGACTATCTTGTCCAAAAGAGCTAGAAACTCATGCTTTGGGTATCGACGAGCACATGCGCACCTAAATATTGCGTTGAGCTTGTCTGAACACATTAGTTTTTTTTTTTTTTAAAGAAGAAATGATTTCTCTACCTCCAACTTTTTGAGTTATCCCCCTCCCCCTCATCTTCGAGTACCATTTTTCCATGATTTTACAACAACAATCTCCCTTGTGCCGTGTGCACGGCGCAGAAGATGCAATGGCAGGGTCGCTGCACCCCTACCGCCGACGGGTGACGAAACATACTCAGAAACTCTCCCATTGTATTCACGATGATCGGGAACGCCGCAACGAAACAAGCGCGTGGAGGTGCAGTCTATAGCCCGGCCGTGGTCCACACTTGCGCGCTTCAGCCAGTTGCCTCCAGACGGCGACTCCGCTCGATCTCGCGGCCAATAGGAGCAACGCTGCACGGAAGCTCCGTTGTGTGTGTGTGTGTGTGTGTGTGTGTGTGTGTGTGTGTGTGTGTGTGTGTGTGTGTGTGTGTGTGTGTGTGTGTGTGTGTGTGTGTGTGTGTGTGTGTGTGTGTGTGTGTGTGTGTGTGTGTGTGTGTGTGTGTGTGTGTGTGTGTGTGTGTGTGTGTGTTAAACTGTGTGCATGTGCGTTTTTTTTCTCTCTTAACTATCTATTTCTTGCACCCACTTCCCCAACCCATGTAGTGCTGGGTAAGAAATTGGACTGTATTATCTGGTTAACCTCCCAGTTTTGTTGTTCACCTCTATGTTACTTCTATGCAGTCTGATTCTCAAAAACGTGCATGTAGCTTGAAACACGTTTACTGACGCGAAATCAGCCCAGTTAATAGAGGTTGCGCTGCGTGTTTTTGCATTCTAAAGTTTTGTGGCATGTATCTGTGTGTATCGTTGCTTACAAATAAAAAGCACGAATCCTTAGAGAAGTCAGGTTTCTTTCTTGTTTGTTCTTTTCATGCACTGCAAAGGTGCTGTACATTAATATGCTTTGATAAAATACATGCCTACCTGAGAAGAGAGATATAAAACATCACATCATGGCTTTGCGTTCTTTACAAGAACCAAGGATGCACGTTGGCCTACTGATACAAAGCAGAAAGCTCTCAGTATATCTTTTTATAGACTTGCTTGATTAGAAAATTGGAGAGTACTCATGTGGTGCTCTTATTCACTCGTCCAAGACGATCACTGGTACTTTGCGTACACGAAGGATTGGTGCGCATTGTTTACTTGCATTAATCCTTTCTTTGCGAAATACTTTTGTTTGTCTCCTTTCTACGCACCGTACGTAATATATGCGTATTTAAGCTATATATGGTGCTTAATTCTTTGTTGTTTGCTTAAAGGGGCCGCGACAAGGCCTCCCAACAATTAGTCTTTTTCAGCAAAATCTAGAAGTACAGGGTCTATTATACATATGCACATATGAAAAATGGACTTTTAAAGAATATTCCGTTGCAAAACAAATCCCGAGACGTCTCCGGTCGTGAACACCACCCAACGTCCTCGACCGCCATTTTGCCGTAGTGCGTGCAACGTTACCTGATGGAAGGAGCACAGCTGTCATCTCCTGCGTAAGTTTGAGCCATCGCCAATCGCTCCATTTTGAATGCTGAGCTCAAGCAAGCCCTAATGAATTCATTGTACGTGTAGCTGACAACAAAACAAAATTGTTAACCGGAATACAAACGCTCGCATAGCAAGCGGCTTGTTACGTCACGGCTTGCGAGTGCACCAGCGTTGCCAGACTCTCGTGTTTTTTTGTTTTAGGTCTAGTCCTCGACCAAATCTTCTAAAATTTTGGCAGCTGCTTCACGGACAACGAAGGATGATTAACCCACGTAACACAGAATATGAGCGCAAATTCGGTGTCGTGACTCAGTTGTTCCGTAAGAAAGACGCTGAAGTGAAAGCTTTTTTTTTAACTACCTGTCGTAATGCTGGAAATGTAACGAGTTGCTTAAATCTCGAGCTGAGCATCCCTTTTTACACACGCACATGCGTCTTTCCATGGCCTCGATGCAGATCCTGTCCAAGGACTCAGTGACAGTGGCCGTGGACGCGGTGGTGTACTACCGCATAAGTAACGCGACCATCGCCATCACCAACGTGGAGGACTACGGCCACTCCACCAGGCTGTTGGCCGCCACCACGCTCCGGAACGTGCTCGGCACCAAGAACCTGTCGGAGATTCTGTCTGAGCGGGAGTCCATCTCGCATGTCATGCAGGTGCGCTGTCCGTTTTGTAGTAAACTTTTTTTACCGAGGTTACCTCAGCTGAACACTGCGTATACTGTCAGTTAAAACTTGAGAAATTTAGACTCTACGCAGAGAACCATGGCGCGCTTGCCATTCAGTTGTGTAAGGCAGTTGTACTATAGCTTGTTTCTGTTAGAAGCGCTAGTATTTTTTCTCTGCTAATCTGATTACTACATACATAGTAAACTGAAGGATCATCATTCCAACCTTGGCATTGTCTTTGGCTGAGGAGCAACGTCAGAGTGAATAACAGAATTTTCCAGGTATTTACAGTTTTCGACCTAAAATGTCTGATTTGAACGTGGTTCTAAACGAGAAAGTCAGCTACCTAGAACACTCTTTAGGCACTTAACGCCATGAAATGAGAAAACGTAAATTTATGGAGCATCTGTGCAAGTTCTATGTGGTAGTGACAACCATGTTATTTATTTATTTATTTATTTATTTATTTATTTATTTATTTATTTATTTATTTATTTATTTATTTATTTATTTATTATACCCTCAGGGTTTTCACATTACAGAGGTGAGGGGCATGTTACATGTAAGAGGGTAGAGCTTGTATTTATTCTTTGACTTGTAGCATACTATTGTGTCAACTTACTGACAAGACCAGACGCCTACCTTTCTATGTACTGTATGTTTTGATGTAAAGCACGACTTGTATCGGAAGTAGTCGGTTGTGTTCTAGGTTCAGAGAATTCCCATTGCACTAAAAAGGCTATCTTTAAATTGATGTGTATTGCTAAACTGTGTCAGCAGATCACTTTTGTCCCGTGTCAGTCATGTATTACAGGCCACAACAATGGCTCCATTTCTGAAATAACGTTTTCATATGACTACGGACTTAGGGGGGTAAATGATACCGCGCTGGCAGTGAATCAAAAACCAGGAAAAAAATTATGAATGGCCCTCTTTCACACCAGTATGTTAGTATAGGTATGATACGTCTCCGAGAGGTTTGTGTAGCAGACGCGTAGCAGTAATGCTCTCCCAAAACTTGCACCGAAACAATTAGGCATACCGATAGGCCTGGTCTTTCGTTAGCAACAATATATTACATGCACTGACCTATTTTATCTTCAATGTGCGCCTCAATAGGTTTCACATAGCTACTACGGATTCTAATAATTCGTTCTATAAGTAAAAACGGGTACACTAGAAGAGGTGGCGAAACTCCCGATGACCTTTTTTGAAGTTTGAAAAGAAATGTTTGAGGATAACGGGTTATCTGAGGATTGTTTCACAATTGATAAGCATTTCGGTGCTCAGCGCATAGTAGACATAAGTAGCATGTTAATGGAAGTCCGGAACGTATACAAGAGACAGCTGGTGGCGTTTAAACAAAGGGTATTACTGTGGTTGTCTCTTGCCTCATTCAAATTCATTTTTTTTTACACAATTTACCTTTTTCGGTGCCTGAAATCTGGTGTTTTGGGGTCACTTTGAAGCTGACGTGCGATGCTATTCCAATTTACCTGAATTTCACGCAGTGCACAGCTATTATATTCATTCACGCTGTAATGACTATAGCATTGTGTCGACATGTGTGATGCCTGACGTTTCGGGAGCATAGAATGAAAAAAAAAGTTTGATTGATTGGTACCTACTGCTGTTAATTTTTTGTCCCGTTTATTGAACAGGCGAGCCTGGACGAAGCCACGGACTCATGGGGAGTAAAAGTCGAACGCGTTGAAATGTGAGTATTGCTTCTAAATTGCAACAGAAGTATTAAAATGGGCTTAAAATCTTTGTTCTGTTTCACTTTGAGCTAATGCTTCACTTTGAGATCTCCCATGTTCCGCCAGGTAACTCGGTCATGTGCTTGCTGCTGCCAATTTATACCCGCAAACTTCTTATTCTCACCTGCCCACCGAATCTTCTGTCTCCCCATAACCCGCTTGCCTTCTCTGGGAATCCAGTCAGTTACCCTTAGTGACCAGTGGTTATCTTGTCTACGCGCTTCATGCCCGGACCATGTCCATTTCCTCTTCTTGATTTCAACTATGATATTCTTAAGCCCCGCTTGTTCCCTAATCCACACTGCTCTCTTCTTGTCTCTTCAGGTTACACCTACCATTTTTCTTTCCATTGCTCGCTGCGTCGTCCTCAATTTAAGCTGAACCCTTTTTGTAAGTCTCCAGGTTTCTGCTCCGTAGCTAAGTACCGGCAAGATACTGCTGCTATATACCTTCCTTTTGAGGGAGAGTGGCAATCTACCTGTCAGAGTTCATAATTTGAGAGTGCTTGCCAAATGTGCTCCACCCCATTCTTATTCTTCTAGTTACTTCAATCTCGTTGTTCGGCTCCGTGGTTATTACCTGCCCTATGTAGACATACTCTTCCACAACTTGAAGTGCACTATTACCTATCTCGTAGCGCTGCTCTCTTCCGAGGTTGTTGTACATTACTTTCGTTTTCTGCAGATTAATTTTAAGACCAACCTTTCTGCGCTCCTTGTCTAACTCCGTAATTATGAGTTACAATTCGTCCCCTGAATTACTCAGCAATGCAATATCATCGGCGAAGTGCATGTTACTAAGGTACTCTCCATTAACTCTTATCCCTAACTGTTCCCATTCAAGGCTTCTGAAAACCACCTGTAAGCACGCGGTAAATAGCATTGTGGAGATTGTGTCCCCCTGCCTTACACCCTTCTTGATTGGTATTCTGTTGCTTTTTTTTTGTGAAGTGCTTTGGTATTTCACATCACCTGAAGGAAATTACTTGAAGTTGCAGTTCAAAACCAATTTCCTCTCTACCTACAACTTTTATACCAATCATAACCATAAGTGTAGAATTTACGAGCTCTTTAGTAAATATCTTATGACAAAAAAACATCATGATTTCACGCATCTAGATCACGTTTTTTATGAAAATACGCACATCACTTTTCAGGTACATTGCTCTTAATACTGTGATATGTTAATGCTGGAGGCTTTACTCTGGTATATCCACTGGCGCGTATAGTTGCCACAAGAGACAAGATTCGTCCCTGAAAACTGCACAGTTGTAACCAAATGGGCATGCTACGACACAAGGTGTGCCACGATCGAGAGTTTAGGAAAGCGGGTTACTCAAGTGAGCTTACCATAAGAGTCTTCTCAACATCCAAAGAATACCCTAATTTGTATCTTACCGTAAAAATATATACATAACTCATACTTGCGTATGCTCATGCAACTGTGCTAAATGTATGTTCCACTCCCGGCCGCCATGGTCGCATTTTGACTGAGCCGAATTAGTAGAAGGCCGTGTACTGAAGGATGTCAGTGCGCGTCAAAGATAACAAAATTGTCAAAATTTATGGCGCCCTCCTATATGGCGGGTCTCATAATTGTATTGTGGTTTCACAACATAAGGCCTTGTAAGGTTTTATTTGAGATACTTTTAATTCAATAATATTGTTACAGGGAAGATTTATTCACCAACAGCGGGTCTTGCTAACGCCTCAAAGAGCGTACAGTCATGCAGACGAACGAGGGAAACTCTAGAGTCCAACCCAAAACAACCCCGTTTTCGTCTTCTTTCTTTTGGGTGTGATTTCAGCTGTGCCGGAGCGACAGTTCCATACACGTATCATCACCCCGGCCGGTATGGCGCCGTCTCGGTGCCTGTTAAATGAACGAGTCAGCATTGTAGAGCTTGAAACAAGAAACTTGTACTACTTCCGTCCTGGGTGCAGCAGCCGATGAGTTTGTGGTCGCGGTAATCTCGTAGGTCACAGGTTTGACCTGACGAAGGACTCAGTAGGGTCCAGCGTATCGGGATAGTAGTTTCTCGCACAGGCCGACACGAAGAGATGGGAGCCACAGGAGAGAGATATTAATAAATAAAAGCATGTCCCGCGATATAAGTTGGTCCCACAGCTCAATCAGTACCTGTGTCATATTGTCAATACAGTTGTAACTTGATTTAACCAACTGATGAGCCCACTTCAAGTATTCAGTTAAATGGGTAAGTTTTCAAAATTTAAAAAGAGGTTTCTCGGTACTCGGAAACAAAACTGTAACGTGGCGACACCCGTAGGCTACCACGCCATTTTATTTACCATTAGCACATGTCCACGTGTGAAAGCTCCAAGAGGACAGCCTAGTCATGCATCTTCCCACGTCGCTGAACATGAAACATGCCAGCCGAGTTAAATGGTCACGTGAACGTATGGAAGTTTTCTGGTGCAAAGACGGAGACACCTAATGCACTCATTGCGCAAGCTGACTGAGCAAGAAACTCGCAAGAAGACCATCACTGGCATTTATCACATAAACCATAAATAACAATAGCAAGCACGGCAAAGCTCCTTTGGGAGCATTTACAAAAACATCAAGACAACGCTCAACCCCCGTGCACACGGCTTGTGCCATTTGGCACGTAAAAGCGCGACCGTCGATTAAGTCAGTTGCTGAATGTATGGGCGTGGCGTTGTGGCCTTGGTGATATAAACTACGGTCAAAACTAGAGCGCCTAGATGTTGTAACATGACAGCGTAACACCACACGCTCGAAGTAAAACTAGTCTTATGACCAAGTTAAAAGGGAATCGCGACTTTTGTTGCATGTTTATTTCTTAAAAAAACGTCGTTAAATTGGGTTCAACACCATGATAGCTTCGTTAATTGAAGTATGTGACAACATTTTGCCCTCTCAGTACCTCCTGAGAACTGAAACTTTCTTCCGTAGATCCCAAAATTTGTGAAATCAGATTTCGTTCGATCTAGTTTTGCCTTGGCCTATGCTGAAGACAGCCCCCGTAGATATTAATACTGGGTCAAGTAACGTCTCATTTTGCTCAGCCTTCTAGTGAATTTCACATCGCGAGAACCACGCGTCCTTGATGTGCCAGCGTCGTGATCAACGAGTACAGTGATTTCCTTGCAAGGTTATGCTCGGTGCCCCGCCACGGTGGTCTGGTGGCTGAGGTACTCGGCTGCTGACCCGCAGGTCGTGGGATCAAATCCCGGCTTTGGCGGCTGCATTTCCGATGGAGGCGGAAATGTTGTAGACCCGTGTGCTCAGATTTGGGTGCACGTTAAAGAACCCCAGGTGGTCTAAATTTCCGGAGCCCTCCACTACGGCGCCTCTCATAATCATATGGTGGTTTTGGGACGTTAAAACCAACAAATCAATCAAGGTTATGCTCGGTATAGGGTTACTGTCATGACGTACCGGCGTTCCTTGGCGTTGCGATCAGAGCTCACGACAGACAAGACACTTCCCAATCAACAGTCATTCTCGCAAGTGCACCTGTTTAAACGATGGTATGACGGAAGCTGGTCATGTATTGTGCTAGCCTGGAAGTCAACATAAGTCGTTCCACATTTTCCTTGCAGCAAGGACGTCCGGCTCCCAGTTCAATTGCAGAGAGCCATGGCCGCGGAAGCCGAAGCAGCCCGTGAAGCACGGGCGAAGGTGAGGCGAACTTTTGTCCGTTCGCGGGAGATGCTTCTTTTTATGTTATGCCTTGCACTGCCTGATGCTTATCATCGTATGTTTTTGTGTCTTTTAGCATGTTAAGGATACATATCGTCTCTGACTACATGTGCAGCAGCTCTGCATGCTACTAGCATGGTTTATATTATCTTTTATTTCTCTATAACTTGCACTCTATATTTACTTACTTCAGTCTTCCGTAGGGGCTATCAACAAAATTTGAGTGAGAAAGGTAGCTGAACATATCCGCACATGTAATTTATGAGGTCATACATTAACTATGTTGGATGGTGTCATTATGTTCGTTAAAATGATAGAACCATAGGGTATTATGAAGGATGGGGCGTTATTGGTTATTATCAATGTAGAATATGAAGGCGAAAAGGTGAGTTTCGGCGAATCACCAGCTCCTTCAAGAGACAGGTCATCACCGCGCTTGGTCACTGTGTAAACAACTGCATCAACTATCCCTTTAAAATGGACCAAACCGCTTAGAAGCCGCTATTCGATGCAGAATGAGAACATATTTGATCGCTAACCCATGTCTTGCATTTTAAAGCACGTTGCACTGCTTTTGCGGTGCCAGTCCATTGAACAGCATTGAAAGGAGGTGCTCGCAAGAGAAAGACGCAGAAGAAGAGAACAGGGACGAGCGCAGACTCACGACTGATTATAATTTACGAGAAAACACACATTTGTATCACACGAACCACACATTCATCTGTGTGCATGCGAGAAACCTGCTTTCATTGTAATACAACCTTACTGATGTATCCCTAACACGGCTACTCTCTTTCCCATGACGACAAAAGTCTCGGTAAGATCAGGTGCCAACTGGTCGTGACTGCGTCTCGAAACTTTTTTTCAGCCAGTAAAGTTTGGCACGGTTTACACCACAGGTAGCCAATGGAAGCACGAGCTTGCCGTGGTTTTTCTTATCGCTAAAAAGAAAGATGCTTACGCTATAGATACATCAGTAAGATTGTATCACAATGAAAATAGGATTCTCGCACGCACGCAGATGAAATTGCTTTTTGTTAGGTGTAAACATGCGTTTGCTTCGAAATTACTACCAGGTGTCCGCGCTTATGTCCTTTCTATTTTTGTATTTGTTTGTTTTGCACAGCACGCTGTTTTAATGCTGTTTCTCAGACTTCTTGTATGGAGTAAACCGAAGATGGTAATATGTAAAGCATTTTATCTTGAATGCAAGTGTTTCTGTTCCAAAAAAAAATAAGGCGTGTGGACAGCATGAAATGAAAGAGAGAACAGTAGAGTCCTCCCAGCAGAATGGAAAGGCTCTTGTTCTACCCAGACTTCTGCTAGGTTGGTCTTCCCACCTGGACACACTTGATGCAGAAAAAGATGCTAAACTGCAGACAATTTGTCACCTTTTGTAGTGTTCTTTGGTACTCGGGCGATATAAAGCAAAAAACGTCTAAAGAATATTCTAGAAGGCTTTTATCATTCGATAACGGATATCCTGATGAAGTAGCTAGTGTCATTGCGCCACCACGGTGGTCTAATGGCGAATGTACTCGGCTGCTGACCCGCAGGTCGCGGGATCAAATCCCGGCTGCGGCGGCTGCAATTCCGATAGATGCGGAAATGATGTATAGGTCCGTGTACTCAGTATTGTGTGCACGCTAAAGAAGCCCAGGTGGTCAAAATGTCTGGAGCTCTCCACTACGGCGTCTCTCATATTCATATGGTGGTTTTAGGACGCTAAACACTCAATATCAATCAATCAGCAGCTGGTGTCATTTATTCCATACTTGGAGGATGCGTGACTGCATTAGTTATTTGATTTCGTTTTACTCAATTGATTACTACATTTCCCCTGTGTCGAATCTTTCAGAATCATGTGTGTGTGTGTGGGGGGGGGGTGGATGTTGGGAGAAAAAGTGGACGCAGGACGACCATTAGCCATCGGGCCGCTCTAGGGGGTCACACATATCCATACTTCTGCGACCCCTCTGACCCAGCCCAATGTCCGGAGCTGTAAACCCCGTTGCTATAGCTCCGCCAAGCAGCCTCTCATTGTTCCTGGGGTTCTGACCCTTGCCACAGGGGTTTGGGGTTCTTCAGGCAATTCTCAAAGACGTGATTGAAGTCGGCTCTGGTGCTAGCGCACAAGTTGCAGTTAGAAAGAGGTATTGTCATGCGTAATAAGGCAGAGAAGAAAACGAGTCATGACTTTGGTAGTTTGAAGTCGGCTCGCTAAAACCTGGTCACTTCTGGCAAGATATTTATGCGGTGTGGAAAATGTTCTGCGGGAATATTGGTAAAATAGTGTGATATTGTGGTTGCTGAGGAGTCGATCCCTGGCACTGCGAAGCGAAAGCAAGTTGCTTTGAGCCCTGTTTACGAGTGCTCCGGCTTGAGTGTGAGCGGCCGTGTTGCCTGACTGTCCACTGTGCGCAGGGCCCCAGAAAATGGTAATGAGTCAATCAGGTGGAGGAGATAACTCAAGGATTCTAGAGTCGATTTTGAGAGTGGTGTAATCATGAATTGCAGTTTTAGAACCAGAAAAAATATACTCAGCGGTGAAGTGAACAAGTGCTAAGAAAATTTTCCTCTCCTCTGCTTTAAGGTATTCTGTCGAACTTGGAATTCAGACGCCAGTGATAAGGTTTTGAAATCCATCTACAATGGAAGCCGGACAATCTGCATATTTGGTCGCGTTTTCGTATACTGCCAGATAATTGGGAAGGAAGTGCTTGTGAAGAGCCTGAGCTCTAGCTTCCCGTGTCGCTTGATTATGTTCGGGATGAGTGTTTTTGGGGGAGTTGCGGGATGCATAGGTTGCTGCTAACAGCGATCGGAAGTGAATGCGTGACCGTGGTATGACATATATTGTTGATTCCGAGTTGGCGCAAGAGTGCATGACTGCTTACGAAAAGTTGCATTGAACGGCTGTCGGTACGCATGCCTCGGCTCAGATTTCTGGTCGAGTGGCCTTCATACGATTGGAAGTAAGTAGGTTTTCCTAGCGCTGAAGAGCCCGGTCTGTGCATCTGTTTGAAGTACAAAGGAGTGTTTTGACCGAAAGACGCCCGCAGGTCGTGGGATCAAATCCCAGCTGCGGCGCCTGCATTTTCTATGGAGGCGGAATAGTTGTAGGCCCGTGTGGTTAGATTTGGGCGCACGTTAAAGAACCCCAGGTGGTCGAAATTTCCGGAGCCCACTACGGCGTCTCTCATAATTATATGGTGGTTTTGGGACGTTAAACCCAACAAATCAATCAATCATCAACCAAAAGACGCACCACGCAGGTTTCTCCTTTATTTTTATTTCCCGCAATGAACCACTTTTCATTCCTTAGCAACATTGCAAAATGATGTTGTGGTTATTTTAACGTTTATCATTCCAGCTGTAAAAGTGTCTCTGTGTCTTGAAAGCGTTTAAAGAAATGCAGCCCTCATGTACAAACAGCTCGTGAAGTGCGCTAAAACTGTTCGCAACAGCACACGTGTGCCAGCGATAATACTTCATTTTTCTCTACCACGCTTTCATGTTTTGTTTTTTTTTTTTTCAAAGCAAGCGCGATGGAATCTCACACCTTTTTGTCTTTGCGGCGCAGGTGATCGCCGCCGAAGGTGAACAGCGGGCGTCGCGCTCCCTCAAGGAAGCCGCTGAAGTGATCGCCGAATCACCTTCGGCATTGCAGTTGCGTTACCTGCAGACGCTCACCTCCATTGCAGCGGAAAAGAACTCCACCATTGTTTTCCCGCTACCGCTGGAACTCATGCGTGGCCTTCTCGCCAGAGACAACCACGATGACTGAGTCGCCGTTCTGCAACATCAGAAGTGACGATGCCTCCGAAATCTGGGCGTCGTTTTACCACTTTCCCCTCTTCGTACGCTACAGAAGGAGGGAACAGCGTGTCTTTCGCGCTTTCTATTTCTACCGACCTATTTTGATGTTGTATTTTTCGTTCGTTGCGTAATTTCGCAAACAAACACGACGATCACGGATCTTGCATTTTAGCGCCAAGCTGCGAGTTTCTCCAGTGGGGCACGCTGTGTTCCACACGTGGTCGTTTTGGAGCGATACGGGCGATATAATATCTATCCGAAGAGCTTTCGCCAAAAGGCTGCTGAAGCACAGCGTGAATCGGTGTAACCACATCCGGGACTCTGTTGACCCGTGACTTTGCGCCATGGTGTTGGCACCACTTCTCGAACCTCGCCGCAGATCCCCGACGTATGACGGGGGGACTCGCTAGCAACGGGTGTACGTTTTCTATCTATTTCGCTCTATCCCTCTGACGTACGTACTTAGGTAACTCACAGCACTTTAACACCACCTTTTGGGGCTGTATGACACTCATTCGTAAGCGATTATCTAGGAGCGCGTGCCATGTGCTAGCATTGTTTGTTTATCAGTGGCATGTGAGAAGAGGCCTCGAACGCAGACAAGAGGATGTTCCGGCGTGCCAGTCACACTGTACTTGATATGTTTGCAGCTCGCTAGGCTGCCGGAGATGTGCGAGCGATTCAGCCTGCCTGATAACATCCCTATAGATTCCCTGTTTTTTTTTTATTCACGGATTGCGAACTGGCTTTGCCAGAGCGACGCGAATATAATTGGGAGTCCGTCCATCCTCCATGATCAATCGAAAGCGGGCACTGCACCTCTTTTCATTTCATTCTGCTACAAAGCGGCTTATGCCCACACAGCTTGATAGGACGAGAAAATTCGGCTCATGTGGTACGCGCTATTCCCATATTCACGCATCGTGGTGCTTGCTGGTCATCATGAGTCTATCGCTAGTGGGTTTATTTTTTGTTAACCTTCGTAAAGCTTAACCACGAACCTTGGATTCAAAAGAGGCTGAAATTTGAAAAAAAGCAAAAAAGAACACATCAGCTTGAAGTAATGAAAAGCCATCAAAGACTGTAATATTGCCGGAGCCGATGATTACTTGACAAGGACACCTGTCTTTGTCAGGACTGGTGACCCTTACTGAACCGAGTTTCACTGTCAAAACATCTGATAATGCGACATTCCTTTTGTCACTCTACACGTGGCGTACACCAACGCCTCCAATATGACAATTTCGACCGTCTTCGCTGCAGAATGATCTCAAATCGGTTAAAATACCTGTTATCATCGATGGCATTAGGATCAGCCGCATTGTATTGTACCAGTCCCGGTCTCATAAGATTTATCCTTCTGCTGACACATTCTTTGTAAGCGCCGCACCGTAACAATTTCACAAAGGCGGCTCGTTGCATGCAATATCGCAAACATGGTTGATGCATTTTCGTTGAGTGACAGCGGTCAGATATTCCGACTATATGAATACTTGTGCAACCCGACATTTATATTATTTTTACTAAAGATAGCAACGTTTAAAACACAGGGCAGTTTCATTACTTAAAAAATGGAAGAGCTACCAAGAACCTGCAGAAAATACAGCAACCAACAGGCAAAAAATTTCTCATTACGCATTGTTTTTTCCATGCATTCGATCTGAACCACGAAGGAGTTGAGTAAATTGCGTGATATCTACTGAGGAGACAACAAAGTCAACTAGCTACGCGATTTAGAATGAATTCCACGTCATTCAATAAAGCGCGACCGTTTGTTCCCGCGAGCTGTTGCAGGCTGACCGCGTGTTCAAATACCACCTGATACCCACACAGTCTGACGACTTCACTCAAAGATGAATAGTGAGCGAGTGACCACGAGAATTTAAAGAAAGTGTGTTGTAACGGCACCATGTGTACTTTCGTGTTTCAGTCCCGCATTCAGCTTTATAAGAGAAATGGAATTAAGAAAATGCCAACGCGCGTGTTAAGTAAGTAAACGCGCGAAAAGGCAAATTCATACACCATAGTTGGGACGCATACCGAACACGCAGACCACGTTCAGGCCCCCATAGTAGTTCACAAGTTTTAGGTGGCCTTTAGGTTGGCTTCATTCATTTGGTCAGCTGTACTACCTTTCGAACGTGCGAAAATCTAGCCACGGAAAAGAAGAAAGACAGATAAATAACATCAGAACAAGCATACGTCTTAGCGCGAGCCTTTGTGAAGCTCTTATATCCGGAAGAGAGTTGTCAGAAGAACGTGCAGCATAGTTCTCAGTGCATAGGAAGAACGAAATTGCAAACAGTAGATAAGCTACGAGCGGTCAGTAGTGGTGGGTGCCCATCCTGTTAAGAACGAAATCGCAAACAGTAGATAAGCTACGAGCGGTCAGTAGTGGTGGGTGCCCATCCTGTTCACAGGCCACGGTAACGAGGTTCAGTGCTGGATAAGAGAATGAGAATGAGTGCGAGAAAAATTCTTCCTGCTTTAGTTGCAAATTTCTGTTCTTCAATCCTTTTTTTTTTCATTCCCATAGCAAGAAAAGTATGCGGAATGAGTAAGAGATAAAAAAAGGAGCAGTTTAATGTTTCGTATGTGCGCTCACTGATAGGCCCTATATAGAAGAAAAGATTGATGCAGGCGATCAAGGGGGTGAGCATTAAAAGATACGCATGCCTCAAATCCAATGTCTCGTCAAAGAGAAACTCTTGAGGCGACTATAGAACAAGTGTCAGGGTGAGAACCGCCGGGCCGCACGTGATAAAGAGCCACCAGTCGCTGAAAATTAGATTAGCGGTGGGCCCACTTTGTTGACTAGACGATGCGGGGGAGGGGAGGTGGTAGCGTATCTCCGTAAACACTGTGCAGTGCCCTTACTTTTCGGTTTGTTGTAGTTTTTTTTTTGTGCTTGCCTTCACCTCTTCTTGTTTCGTTTTTATCCCGTGACAGCTGATTCCAGTCCTTATGCGTTTATATATATATTTTTTTATTTCCGTTACAACTTCGAGTGGTTTGTCTTTCGAAGCACGTTCCGAGTGCTTGGCTCCAGTACAATGAGCGCATACACGATAGCTATGCGAAACTTCAGAAGTGCTTATGTGAGGCTTTCCTGCTTGTACACTTCTTTCCTTGCTTCTCTACGCATTTGATCATCTGCTTATGCGGTTTTGCTTAGAAACACTGGATTTCTTTATCTATCTTTTTTATTCCTTTCTTTCTTTTTTCTTTCTTCCTTTCTGTTTGTCTGTCTTTTTTTAGGTTTAACGCATAGCCCCTAGTTTTTTTTTTTTTACTCACAGATGTATTTTTACCAGATCGATTTGTTTTTCTTAGCACGTCAGAACAGTCTCCGCGTGAAATCCATCAAGTACAAGGACTGAGGCTTCATGCAAATCTTCATAGTACGCAAAGTAAGCAGGTTTCAAAAACGAGGCATTGTTGTTCTGCTTGCTTTCGAAAATTCATCTTGATTTTATGTGCTACAGGTGTGCTATAGGAACTTACTTTCGGAGAAAGGTTACAGTGGCAAGAATTAGCTAAGAAAAAGTATTCCTGGCATTCAGTGATAGTGAACATGAAAACTTGTGGTTCTCTAAAAAAATATTGAAATGGCGACGTTGCCACCAGATTTTTTTTAAAAGAATTGAAAATTGAAGGAACAAACGCAGTCAACAATTATGATTACGCTAGTTTTTCTATGTAACAGTAATGATAATAACAAATAGTGCAAAATAAGCGTTAATGTCACAAGCTACACATATATAGAGCCTACGTAAATGAGGTCAACATACTTTCCTGAACACAATTGAATATGCTGAGGAAACACAGGCAAGGACCGTTAGCATCACGCAGGATGGCAGAATACCCGCCGCAGTATGAGGCATCACACTGCGGCGCTTAGGGTTGTGAGTTTTGTTGTATCCGCGGCGTTCCTATGGAAGATGGACGCACGGTCATGTATTTATGTGCATGTTAGAAAACTCTGGTTCTAGAAATTGATACTAAACTTAGGGTGCGGTGTGCTTCCTAGTTGCATCAAAATTTTGCTAGGTAAAACGCACTAATTTGTTCTATATCGTAGAATGATGACACAGATGACCGAATGGCGCTTTCACGTAGCCACTGAAGTAGCCGGCTGGAGGTTGCAGCAGATTTAACGCGCACACAGTGTCAAAAAGCTACGACCTGCACTTAAGTAAAAAAAAGAAAGATTATCTTTTACTCAGTAGCCTACTTCGACATTGTGATTGTATTGTTGAAAATTTTCATAGGTAAGCAGTCTTACGCCTACGCTAGCTCTGGATAAAGTTCAAATGAGAGAAAAATAAGTATTTTCCACCTTTCACAATAGAAGGCTGCTTGATGGACCTATTCGTTGTTCAGTAATCACCTTAATTTTCGTTCCATACGCAACTTATTGAGTGATCTATCATAACTGCCCTCCCTCCCCTATGGAGATCACTAAATTTATTGAGTAGCTGCTTTCTGAATTGCGAAAGCAAACACATACATTGGATTATTCGTAACAGCTTTCAGACGTTCACTTGAAGTGCTATACCGACTGACCAGTACATGCAGCTCTGCGGTTCGAGTCAACATGGTCACAATCTAAAATATCCGAGGAAATCCTCGGACACGCTGGTTCGCACAAATGACATCGAGTTGCGTTGCTCCAGCTTTGTAGACATTGTGTTGTCCTCAATGATGTCGCCGAGTACACAACTTTTCAGGCCTTTGAGCTCACTTACTGGAGTGTACCTATATTAACCGTCCTTTCCGGAGGGCAACGTATGCGCCTTATTCAGCAAGAGCGCTGCTGCGTGACACGGATGCGTACGTATGACTTGTTAAAAAGAACTCACTCTGGTGGGTTAGAACAGTTTACCGGCACTGCCATGTAAAGCTCTCTCACGTGCGTGGAAGGCTAACACAATTTATGGACTCACATGTGGGAAGCTCTAACGTTACACCTTTGTTCGCTTCAAAGCTCACCGGTGCTAAGTTGAACGAAAGTAACCAAACCCCTGAGTTTGTCACGAAGTGTAGT